GCCATTTTTGAAAGAATTTTTATTACGAGAATTGGCCTTCTGTTCTTGTGGTAGGTTGGTTGTGGGCTTCGGTTTCCGAATTTAGGCTCAGAGTGGTCCTTTATGCGTCGAGGATTGGTTGACTAGGTGAGCCAGCCAAGCTCCTTCCAGAAGCGCAGAAGCCTCCTGGGGCATTCACAGGCTTCTAGGAGCGACTTTATATCAGGAATAATACTTGCCCGTTGTGTGGCCACTCCCTCGCATTCCAGGACTACGTGGACGGCCGTTTCTTCAGCTTCCAGACATCCCCTGCACAGGGGACTGTCCGTCGCATTGATTATGAATAGTTGTCGGTTCAGGGCTAGATGTCCTGTAATAGTTCCGACAACCGTTCTGATTTCCGGTCTGCTAAGACTGATCAGTCTGCAGGTGAGTCGTGGTGTGACTTGATTCAGCACCAGTTTAGACTGTCTGCAGCCAGGTGAGTTTTTCCACCTCCGGTTGTGTGCTTCACAGGTCTGTTGCCTGACCCAGCATCGTATTTGGTTAAACGATATGGGCAGGAGTGGGGTTGGGCCAGAGGTTGGGGTTGCCGAGCCCCTCCTTGCCAACTCATCTGCGGCATCGTTCCCGTGTGAGTTACTGTGCCCTTTAATCCATTGGAGGATTACCCCTTTGAATATAGCGAGCTGTTCCAGTGCTTGGTGGCATTCTAAGACAATACCAGAGGTCGTTGTGTTGCCCTCCAATGCCTTTAAGACGGCCATGCTGTCGGATATTATTCGGATGTTGTAGTCCTTGATACCCCTTGACATGGCCGTTGTGGCAGCGTAAGTTATTGCCACACATTCACATTGAAATATGGAACTGTGTTGGCCTAACGCTAGTGATATGTTGTTGTTTAGGTCTTGCGAGAAAACTCCGGCTCCAGTTCCTGACCTAGTCTTGGAACCGTAGTATCTTCTTGTGAAGATATGGTGTTTTGGGATTCTATCGCATGGCGCTGCTATCAGTGGTTCGTATTCCATCAATTGATCCCATAATTTAGAGTGCGATCCCTCACGTTTGTGGAATAGACCCAGGTGTTTGAGTCTAATGATCGCCATGGCGGCCTCCTGCTGTATGAATAGATCCAGGGGTGGCAGACCAAGAGCCACCTCCAGTGCGGCAGTAGGCGTTGTGCGCATACAGCCAGTGACCGCGGAGCATGGGAGTCGCTGGAATTGCTGCAGTTTGTTTATGACGGTGCTTAGCTCTGTTCTCTGCCACCAGACAACAGCACCGTAAGTGATTATTGGTCTTATGACTGTTCTGTATAGCCATAAAGTAATTTTGGGTGATAGTCCCCAGTTTTTGCCGAGTGGCCGCTTGCATTGGCAGAAAATAATGCAGGCTTTATTCAGTTTTTCATCGAGGTGCTTGTTCCACAGGAGTTTACTGTCCAGTATTACTCCTAGGTATTTGACCTCTTTGGTAAGAGTAAGTTGTGTTCCAAATAGCTTGGGAAGTCCAAGATTTCCTAGGCTGCGTTTGTTTGTGAACATGATCATCTCTGTTTTGGATGGGTTCATTGTTCCACGATCTTCAGTGTCTTGTGGTAGGTTTTTTATTGTATAAGCTACAAGGTACTTTTTAGCGTAATCAGCTATTATTCTCAAATCGTTATAATATTGTTAATGTACTCGTAGTTACATAATTATAATGTATGAATATGATCTACACATTTTAGAGATACGACATATATTTCATAAAAAAAAAGACATTTGAAATGAAATGAACAGATACAACAATTTTTCAGTGAATGTGTTAAAAATAACACATTATTATTTCGTTTAAAGGATATTCTTGGAAACAACCATCTGTAATTCTTTGAAGTTAAAGGTAAGTTTATGTGCGTTGAATAAAAAAAGGTTTAAAATATATACCCTCTATCAGACCTTTTTCTCTGATCTGTAATGGAACCTTTATGTTGAGTAACAGCTGTCTCTCACTTTCTGAAAATGTCAAACTTTTCTTCAAGCGTAATGAAGCAAATTTCATCGAACTATTTTTTGTTGGAGTAGGTACTTATCCCCCACGTTATTGCGTTTTTGTCAGCTTACGGCTATAGACTTGTTACACATCATGTTTCAGTCGTCTGATATATTTATTTCAGAGTGTTATTTATTAAGTTACATCTTGGTTCTTGAGCCATTTTGTTTGCTGTTGCCGTAATTTTTATTCAATTACTTTTTGTGGATGATCATATACATTAGTAGAACACAAAAAAAAGCAGAATTAATGTATTTTTTTCGTAACACTGGCCGGTTACATTACTTTTTTTAATTTTAGGTCTAATTTGAAAACGGAACATTAGTCGATAGTAAAAAAAAAACATTACATTAATAATAGCAGAACCATTTTTTGTGTTCCACTAATTCTGCCGGCGTGTGTATTATTGTAAGTCAATTTTTTTTAATTTTGCCACTGTCGCACATCCTCAGTCACTCATTAATCGCCAAAGTTATAAAATACTTTCATTGTACAAGCTTCAATTATTTAACACGGTTAGTTTTTAGTCAACATAACAAAGATAAGCTAAAAATTATAACTATGATCGCCATGAAAATGTTCTTAATGAACTAATTAGATAGCAATTTATAAAAAAGAAAATATTTATAGATGCCTTTACCAAAAGGTACTAAGTACATTGAAAGGACTTAATTTAACATTAGTGAAAGGTGTGTTGTTAATGTCTAACGTAAAATCGTAACGTTGAATTACAAAAAAGGATGAGAGCAATGGAAAGTAGATATGTATGATTTGGGAAAAAGGGTCAACACATTAGCATCCTCACTCTCTATTCTACATTTTTGTATCCACATAATAAGTTTAACCTATGATCTACAGAAATCTAGTCGCTGACAACACGTGTTGCGTACATCACATTCAAGGCTTATTGTCATCTTATGACTCGTATGACTACTTTTATTAAGGCACCTTTTTACAAATATTTCTATTAGATATTTAAAAAAACGAGGAACTACAGGTGTATAATGGTCAATGTAATCATCAAAATGCAAAATGATTTGACGATGACAAATGATATGTTTTTTCTGTTTTATTTTTAAAAACCAAATACGTAAATAAAATTACATATTTGCTAACTTATAAGAAATATAATGTTGAGTGTCTTATGAACTCTAACGATTTTAGTAAATATTTACTTAAAAGGTACAAGTTGAATTCTTAAAATAAATAGGTAAAAATCTCTCACTGATTAAATGTACCAGTTAGGTATTATTTGATTAAGTTAAATAAATATGAAACTGTCCTACAAGCCGTAAAAGTTACTAGATTGAAAGTCTCTTTGGTTTAGTAAGATTAAGTTGAAAATAGAATATGTTTTGACTAACTTAAATCAACAGTATCATTCGTACTATTACTATTACTAGATCTAGACTATATTAGTATTTTTTTTTGCAATTCAACTAGCGTCTTACTACGAATCTAAAGCACGGCGATTTATTGTATGACTACTCATTCAGTTTACAATTCGATTTATTTTATTTCACTTCTTTTGTACTTTGAATAATTGCCATTGTGAAACAACCTTATCTTAATAATCATAAGTATAATAAACTCAAAATATTTTGAGTAAATTATTCTGGGATTTTAACTGCAATATAAAAACACGGTTGTAAGCCTTATCTTACCTTAAAAAGTGTAATATTCTTCTATATGAATTTAAATTTATGTTAATAAGTAATAATAATAAGAGTAAAAACAGACCGTGTGGGCAAGAAGTCTTATTTCTCCTTTCTCACTCAGTCTGTATTAATTTGACAGGGCATGTACATATACCAAGAAATTCCTTCCGAGGGTAAGCCTGGTTCCCCGGCTACGGCCCGAGACGGCGAGCGGTTTTCAGTCGGATTTGAGGGGCTTCCCGCACAGAAAAAAAAAGGGCATATACAGAATATTTGCATCAAATTAGTCTATTATAATATAAAGTTACACATAAATGTTAGTCTCCTCTTTCTCTATCTGAATGGAAACGAACTCAAAATAAACAGATACCGTGTTATACATTTACCACTGGAACATAATATAATGTAGTAATGGAAGACAAACTAACAATGTCAATACACATATTACATTTCCAGACGACAGTGTGAAACACAAACCATACAAATAATAGTTCTGGAGTGTCCTATTTAACTTTGACTTCAACTTCCCATTTGAAGTTAGTTCCCTTCAATTCCGGAAACGCTCTGTTCTTAGATATATCGTGACGATAAGCTATTTTGTGTAGAAGCTGACATTTGTGCCAAGAATTTTGTTCAAATTTCAAACGTATATCGACCACGAAAATGTCTTCTGAGTAGGTACTTATGAAGAACACAAAACGATTACTGGGTTTGTGTATCTTTTGAGGGCCTTACGATTCAACGGTCGATTCCTTGCTCTCAATAGAGTTCATTCAAAATAATTGGAACGTGTCCAAATAGAATGCAAGCGGATACTTTAGAAGTGCTTAGGAACGGAATTCGTGTTCCAACTATTTGTGTAATTACGGTCTTTCAAGAAACGTATGTTTAAGATACGAGTACTAAAAGTTTTATTAGAAATGTGTATGATAAGTAAGGTGAAGAGCTTAACTTCTCTTTTATAATAATTGTACAAGATTTTTGCTTATAGTAGTATTCACTATTATCTATAAAAGCAGTTAATAAACTTTTATTTTCTTTCCTTTGAATTGCTAAGGCCTACTTATACACGCGATGTGTATGCGATAAAATTTGCTTACGTTAACGAGTCAGGAGATTAGTATAGACTATAAACTTACCATATTGTCACACCAATTTTAACATTCATATCAAATTGCTAAAAGTACATTCTGTTTATTATATAACGTAAGGATAGTTGCGTAGTTTCATTATATGGCTTCGAAGTAGGTGCAAAACACTTAGTAAACTAACTACATATTTCATTACATATATAACTAGGAGGAATAATAATTATAAAATCTGTCTACTAACCGACAATAATAAGATGAACCGCATGTCCAATAGGTGGTGTGGTAGATATCTGGCACTCGTATTGTCCTGAGTCGCGACGTTGAGGGCTGCGTATGCGCAGTGCCCATTCTTCGGAGCGCGGCTTGTGCTGCGCCTCGAAGCGCTGGTCGGATGTGTACGTGTAGCGACCAACTGTTAATAAGTGGATGTCGCGATGCCGGACCCATGATACCTGCACAACAGTAAAACAAACTATTTTTTAACTCTTTTTTTTAAAACACTACATAATATATGAAACTTATGGTACTTATATATGGTACTTTACAGACATATATGAAACAGACACAAAGAACACCCAGACTCAGAACAACAATTGGTAGTTTACACAAAGTGTCGTCCCATATGGGGATCGTACCCACAACACTCGGAGTAATAGTAAGCGGCGTGGCGAGCGCTTAAACCACTACGCCATCTGTGTATTTATAGATAAATGTTCAGATATTAGAGATTGTCATAATATATTTTTCAATTATAATGCAGAAGTACCTATATTCTATCAATATCCTACAATACAATTATAAACACTGGAGTTTAGTAAAAAAAAAAATAGGGTTTAGTTAATTAGGACAATCAGATTTATAGTGGTCATTAATAAAGTACAGTTAACGTAAAGTATAGCATCGTTTTACCTCATAAAAGGAATTAAAACTATCAAAATTTTGACAACATCTTAACAACAACAAAACTGACATAAATAAACATTCTCTATAAATGTTTTGTCAACTTATAAATCGTTTTCAAACCAAACACACTTTAAAAACTTAAATAATATTCGTATTATATAGACTGAGAGCATACCAGGTAATCAAAACGGTATCGGCGGTCACTGATCTAGTAGATTGGCTTGTCTAACTTATTTGAGTAGGGTCGAACATTGATAGCAAAAAATAGTCATTCGCTTCCACTTTCACTTTCATCCAAACTTGTTTTCATGATAAAAGAAAAGTTATGGCTTATATTCAATTTAAATAGCATTATTGCTAACCTTAAAATTATTATGATACCCTAATACACAATACACAGCTATACAGTGTTTTATACAAGTCAATGGCTTTATACCGTAATCTACTGTAGATTTAGAAGGAAGGATATTGAAAAATTTGATTATTATTGTATTAAAAAATATTTTGTTATCTTTTTATAGTCACACATCGGTTCTATTTGAGTAAAAAAAATGACAATATCAACATATACAAAAAAGTAAGATCGATTGTCTTTCATAAAAATCAAAGAATAGTAAATTTTAATCAGAATATCTAATAGTCGTAGGCACATTAAATTCAACCATAGGTTACATTTTCTGTGATAAAAAAAAAACATTTTATTTCCTTCACAAACCAAATATGGCTTTACGTTTCAGCTTTGCAGCAGTTCAAATGTATCATTTTTGTTACTTCTTATGAACTGTCGATATGCCATTTCTACTTCTAAAGACACTTTCAGTTCAGTTACAGAAATGAATTCTACACATATCGGAAATTGCCTATTGTAAGTTGAACAAAAGTGAACTAGAAGACGTGGTTCACTTGAACAGAAACCTATCCAAGCTTAATGTCACAGTTTCAATACAACCGGGAATATTGCCACACCTGTTTCTGATTGGAACTTTATTAAAACTTAATAATATACTTTGTAGTACTATTTTAACCAACTATTGAATTGTTGTGGTATGTTGCGGAATGTGTAATGAAGACACTTGCCATGAATGCAATAAAATTACTTAGAACCCTATTTAAGTCTGTCTTTATTAGTTTAGACTTTAGAGTAATTTACATAAAGGGAAGATTTCACATCAATATAAATAATTGTAAAATCGGGAAATTCTGCGTATATTTGTTTTACATTTGTAATAAATCAAATAGGTCACAAAGGCAAAATAAAATGTTCTCATTTCTTTAGAACATTTGACTGGACCGCTATACCTACTGCACAACACAACAATAATCTCAGATACTAGTATTAGTATAGTACATAAAGAAAATACTTATTTAACATAGCTTTATGTTTTGAAACATTAGTTAATATTTAAACAAGTGAACATAAAATATATTTATATATACTCGTATAGAGCTCACACCACTCGAGCAATAGGAAGCGTCGAAGTGACTGCTTAAACTAATACGCCGTATGTGCAGATTTGAAATTTGGTATACTTTAGTGGTATTTCCATAATATCGTTATCTTGACTGATGCTGCAGTCAAACCTTGATGATGATTGTGAATGATTCCAGTAGAGACCGTAATGTGAATTCTTTAGAACAGTTAATAAGATAAATGAAACACTTGACAAACAAATATACTGAAATGAGAAACTCACTAATTGTATGATATTTACTACGTAAACTGTAGTGAAAATAGGGACAGGCTGTATTACTGCTAACCCTCCGTCCGCTGTCGTGACCACAACTAAATGTTTGGTAGAATTGGCAATATTAACTTATTAACTTTCAACCCATTCAACGTTTGCAAAATTTGTAGATAACCGAATTATCTCTACAATTTTGAAACAAGAGAGTTTCCTTTGGTGTAATAAAGTTTATGTATTCATTACTTATACAATATCTTTTTTATAATCTGCAAATATTGTCTTTCCTAGTTTGGGTGTTTTCTATGTATAGTACGTATTTATTTACAAAAAAAGTATGTAAGTATTTTATCCGTCAGCCTAGCTTTCATAGTACAAGCTCTGCTTAATTTGATACCAGGTGACGTTGTGTATTAGATGTCCGAAATATTACATTTGTTATTATATTAAAATATTTTATATAGGGGTTAGCGAGCAGACGGATCACTACCATCGTGTGTGACTATCCCTGCTCATTCTTCAGACTGCAATGCAACGAAATAATTTCTGTTTATACCGTTTTTCTGAAACAATATTTTTTTAATGTTTTTATAATTACGATTTCTTGTGTGAAATATCTAATACGGAGGGTCAGACCAAGGTCACCACTACACACGCTTGTGATGGTATTTTATAATATGTAATGCGGTGTGGCAACGCATCGCCACGCGCAACTGTCTCTGCAACTCTCACGCTCTCTTGATAATCAATCAAAGTTGGTTTTTAACCGACTTCAAAAACACAAAAGAAGAGGATAACATTGTTTGCTAGTATGATAGGCTTGGACGAATGCTTCCAAGCCTATCCACCTGTTCGCTTGGCACCGACTTCAAAGAGACTAGAAGGGACTATTGCTATTATAATGTTACCTGTTATATTGAGGGTACTTATCATAGTTTTTTTTATAGAATATTAAATATTATTTAATTTTTAGTGCTCGTTGTCAGTATTTTTTAAAGTCGGTTCAACTTTTTTTTTAAAAGGATTTATATATTCATTATTGCTACAAGATAATTTCGATGTTTCACATCTGCCGGACGTCCCGCGACAGCTGTTTGTTTTTTTATTCAATCATTATGATAAGACGATAAGAGGTAGATTCTGAAATTACATTTTCTGTAGAAAATAAATCACTTACGGTTCTATTTTGTAGATTCTTCACTTTGCATAGAAGTGTCACTGGATGTCCAACTAGACCGGTGACGTTGTCAGGTGTACTGGGATCGAAATAAGGGGAACCAGGAGCTTGTGGCCAGTCTTCTAAGAACTCTGTCCGAAATCTCTTTGAAGACTCTGACACCGTACTTTGGTCCCGTGGACGGCTATTACTGTTATCTTGACGGCATACTAAAACAAAATAAGAACCATTAACATTTAAGGACAATATTCATTTATGGAGCCATTAAATACTGTTATTGGTATAAATATTTCTCAAATAAATATATTGGCCACTAATAAACTAGTGTAATTCACAGAACTCTCCTCGTCATATCACGCATCATATCAACAACTTTTAATAGTCCTCTGCTGGACCTAGGCTTAGAAAGGTGGTTTTGGCCTACCATATCAACGTGGTGGTGGCCAGATGGGTTGGTATAGCGTTTTTGTCAAGTGTTCTTCTCTTTGCAGTGTTCCCTTAGTCGACTGTTACGATACCCACGAGATGAATGCGGGTGGTGACACTACGTATTTTTAATCCACTACCACGGATGTCCTTCGTGTAAGCTACTACAATTACGTCTAGTGGGTGAAGGTGTATTAAACGTTCACATTTTATCAGGTAATAGTTTTTATTCCAACTTACATACTATAAACAAGCCTATTGACATCAAAAGGACATTTTAGAATCTTGGAATAGAAAAAGGAAGATAGATATAAGAGAAAGGTACCTGATGGTAGGAAAGGAATATTGCTCATACTAATGAAATGGAGAGAGTAAGCTCCCGTGGGTCAGGAACTGACTGCTGCTGTTCCGAGCCCACTATCCTTCCACTACTACAAGTCTACTACAAACTAGTCTAATTCCTAGTTATTTTTTTTCATTTTCGTCAGACTTATACATAAATACAAATACTATATGTATTGCTTATTAGTTAATTATATAAATGAACAAACATAGTTGTTATTTATAATATAAATAATAGTAAAATCATAATATTCCTGTAACTTGTTTAACAGTTAACAGTGTTTGTTTAAGAAGTTTACTGAAATGTTTAATTTAAAAATAAATTGTTATAAATACGTGATTGATGATGATGACATATTAATATTTCATTTTGTAACTTTGACATCGTTCTTATTCATAAGTTACAAATTATATTGCGGTAAATTGAAATATAAATGATAATTTGATGAATGAACATTCTGTGTAATTTGTCCATATTTTATTTGCGAATAAGGGAATTAGAACCCTCAAATACTGGCAGAATGGAATTAAATTGAGAATATATACGAGATTAGGTGTCAGTATTTTTTTGGAAGGAACAACCTAGCCCTCACAATGTCTTAAAGGATCTAAGGCTTTACATAATTTTATTACCTGATCAAGTTATTTAAGCAACTTGAATAAACCTTAATACTCTATACATTAGACTTTAAATTAATTCTGAAATATTTTTTTATAAATAATTATAACTTTTTTTTTGTATTGAAAACATTGTTAATTGTGTATAAGTGGTTTTGTAAAGAAAACATTTGTTTTTCTTATGCGATTCTTATTTTAATTTGACTTGACATTTCTGACTTCACGGATGGCGTAGTGGTTTAAGCGGTCGCCACGCCGCTTCCTAATGCGCCGAGTGTTGTGGGTTGAAACCCCACATGGGACAACACTTTGTGTGATCCACAAATTGTTGTTCTGAGTCTTTGTGTACTTTGTGTCCGTTTCATGTATGTTTGTAAAGTCCCCGGCGACACAGGGGTTTAATCCTAGTGCGAGAGTTGTCTTTTAAAAAAGAAAAAAAGAAAGAAGTTAATTTCTTTTTAACCAGCTTACCCTTTCATTGTACCTTAATTCTTAATTATTTCATCTCAAATTGTCAACCTGTCCAGATGGTGGTAATAGACTTGCCCCTATAACGTGAGTAACATTAGTACCCAGATAGTACCAGTCAGACACCTTTGCTATACTTAATTATAATAAGTAAGTGATGAAAATATACCGAAAAACAAACATTACAGAAGAAGCGCGGAGTTTATTAACAAGAGAAAAACTGAATTTATTAAGAAAAAAACACATAAAATGCGAAAATTCTAACAAGAATTCCAAATTACCAACCAAAATCCTTTGCGGTAAGCAAACGCAATCGTAAATCAAATGTAATTGTGAATATTCACGCCCAAGTACAATAAACAAACGATAACTTCATTAATTCACCCGCCGACTGGCAGGATCTCCATCAGATTAATGGAACCCTCTGATAAGATTAAAAATTAATCGTATTAATGACCTAAGAAAAGTAATCGAGTAGAAAATGAAACGTCCACTGAGGAGACGTAAATCGCGATTGTCAGCCGAAGCTTGATTAAGTGTTAAATTTTAAATTATGATCCCACAGCTTTGTCGTGTCGATGGACGAATTTACTGCTCAGTTTATTACAATAGAGCCTCAGCGGTAGTGGTTGCGTAACGAGCACGGTCTCGCACGATCTCTTACCTATTTTATGACGAACATGAAAAATGTATACTGAACGTCTGTCGTGCAAAGATAGATCGCACCTGCATTGCGTGTTTTTGCTCGCTTTAAAATTAAATGATAAAATCTTGATGGACGGAAATTGTTGGTGCAGAGTTTCAATTGACCATATAATTACTACGTCCGCCGCCTCAACAGGAAATGAGAAAAGCTTCTGTTTAAAATTGTGATTTTGCTTAGTAATTTATTTTGAGTTGTTTTACTTAGACGACTTTTATTAGACGACCGGATGGCGTAGTGGTTTGTGTAACGGACTGCTATTCCAAAGGTCGCGGGTTCGATTCCCGCTCAAGTCAAACATTTGTGTGCATGAACATTTGATGTTTGATTTGGTCTGGGTGTTTCTATGTATAATATGTATGTATTTACAAAAAAAAAAAAAAAAGTATATATGTATTTATATCAGTTGTCTAGTACCCATAGCACAAGCTCTGCTTAGTTTGGGACTAGATGGCGTTGTGTGTATGTGGTAGAATATTATTATTATTATTATTACTCGTTAAATTCTAAGTGACATATACTGACGGTATTGTAAGCCTGGTGCTTACTAAGAGTTCATTAAGATGTGAAGTAGAAACTTATATAGTACTAATTTCAAGTTGTCGTTAAGATATTGTGTTACATAATTGCTGTAAAGATCGTGTTAGGAAACGATTTGTGTATGATGATTTTACTTATTAGTATTCAGGTGTTTTCAGTACTAAAATGTATGTTATCTAGAATCGAAATTTAATTTTATATCTAAGCCTCTAGAACTTCATTGTGAACGTTTAAAAGCTCCAAATAAAGGAAAATTAAAGATTTTACTGTAAAAATCTCTGTAAACACTTACATCAATTACATATTATATACAGATTTTAGTACGTATACCGCTAATCATTAGAGTATTCGGCAAACTATAATTAGTTTACCAGATACTCTTATGATTAGCGGAATAAAATAGCGGGACGAAGAAGTTGATTCTTGCATATTTAAATAGAGTTTTTAAAATGATTATATTTCAATGTCTGTGTGCATAGAATAGTACTAGCTTTGTTGGAAATTGATTCTGGACTTTGCCAAAAGGAGAATTAAGAGTCCCGTATCGGTATCAGATATACGATAATCGTTGTTTTACTTTAGATGCTTTGCATTAGATTTTTTTTAGTGTTAGTGTTAGTTTGCTTAAAGTATTTTAGTTTTAGTCTTCATGAACTATTTTTTTATATAAGGTATTAAATACACCTGTATTAATACTCATATAATTTATTTTAATTTTTTATGCACAAATATGAGTTGTACAATGGCGGACTTAATGCCACAGGCATTTTCTCCCAGTCTACCCTAGGGTGGTGCTGAAATGTGTGACTAGGTGCACTAGACATTGATGTGTAAAGTAAGAGAAAATTATTGAGAAGTTAGACAGAAACAACGAGATAAATAAATATACCTACATGCATACGTACCATATACATACGCATACATAAATACTTACCTAGTTACATACACACATAAACCTACATATTAATAATATATAAGACTTTAAGGTTGTAATCAATCTGCTAGCGTAGTCCAGAATACGAGCTCGAACTTTCATTTTGAATGAGAGGCGGCTTTGTGCCATCCTGATTTCTAGAGGGAGAGCGTTTCAGACGAGTACAGATTGGATTAGGGACGAGGAGTGAAGGATTGTTTGATGAACGGAGTTTTCTACCGTGGTTGTAACACATAATACCAAATTTAATTCGGTCCCACTCATGTAATAAGGACAAACCTATTACCGCCAACTGAGCAATTCGCCAATTAAAGCTGCACTACTTGAGAGTACATTGGAAAATAATTTAAAAGGAATCTTGCTTAAATAAGGAATTTAAGAAATAGCTCGAGCAGGTCAAGGTCACTTATCTGTAAATCAAACTGTCCTGAGCCTGGCAGCCAGTGTCCTCTCAAATATATACTAACAATTCACACTTTAAAAAACTTACTATTCATTACAAAAAGTAAACACTAATAAACACTTAAAAAATATTGTTTTAGTTAAGTACTTATTTCTTCACTAGCAAAAAAAAACTTTAAAAAAAAACTATTTACCTTAAACGTTAATTTTTATAGAAAACATATATCTTAATAGTAACTTATACCTTCACAAACAAAACCTATTCAAAATAACTATAAACGTAAAGTATTACTCAGTAAAATAAATATACATTTTATAACTTATAAGCCGCTGTAAAAAACCCCTTTGAAAAACATACCGATAATGCAGGTGAGGAAATGAGCTGTGAATAAGCAGACGGCCGTAGCACGCGCCATCTCTCACCGCTCTCCGGGGCGCAAGGTCATCGCTCCTGGAACAAAGAGCACACTAATAATCTCTGAAACCTTCAGTTGCCTCAAGGGCCTACTGTAGACTGGAAGCAACGAGGGTAAGCGTGCTACTATGAGTAGTCCGGTCATAAATAATGTTACAGTTTAATGACTTAGAGATCATTTTTAGTGTAAAAATATATTCTATATGAAATATGATTTTAACTCCATCACATCGATGCAGTGAAATATTAGATTGAAGAAAAATGAGAAAAAAAATTCAAACACATGCTCATAATATATTACTTGAAATTTCTTCTGAGCTTGTTGGCAATAAAAAGGTAATAATTATTAAAAAGGGTTTCGATACCACGTTGAAAGCGAAATAAAAAATGAAATACTACCACCGACTTTGATTCATAATGAAATTTAGCGCCTACGTTCAATTCTTATATAAACATTTAATAGCTTTTTATGTCACCACAGTAGTACAATATCTAAACCTGTATGTATATGTTTAAATTTATTCATGTTTTGAAGGATTGACGTGAAAATCTTTTAAATAAATAAGTGATTTTTAGGAACCTACGTGATCTTTTCAGCACCCTTGATAATATTGACAGGATATTAAAAGTAAACTGCATTCTATAGAAGGAATTTTATTTCTCACTGATATAATTAATATTGAATATGTTTCATTTTTACACCCGCTCGTTATTCCACCACTGAGTGTACTTGGTGCTGTGGTAGTTTTCCCCACCTGTCCATATTTTATACCTAAACTAGCAGTCTATGTACCAGATACATGGGCACTGTACTGACTAAATAGAATCAAAACTTTACAGATCGTACGTAACTTTGGAAATAATAATTATGACTTCACACATTTTATCCCAAACTAGGGAGAGCCTGTACTCTGGTAACAAAACTTACTTATAATGAAAATAAAATGAATTAAAACTCTACTTGTGGGAGATTTTTCCATTCATTGTTTTACTTTTGAGTTTTATCCATTTTTAAAGCAAAAGTGGTGTTTACCTATAAGTGACTGTTGCATTGTTATTAAATATATGAGCATGTACTAGTTTAAGGAATAAATGTAAACAGTTATTTAATGTTATTTATTAAAGGTTCACCCATCTATAATAAATAAAAAAAAACAATAATGTTTTTGTTATTTATCTAAAATATTGAAGTATAGTATTTAGAAATGTATAAGTATAAATATATGTATATATGTGTTATCTATATTATATATATATATAAGTTTTAATGAGTCATCATATACAAGTGCAGCATTCTCTATTTTTTACTATTTGTACTATTTCAGTCTCGCCAGTTTTCGTCGAGAAACTCTTCCGTAATTTAATCAATAAAAGTACGTTTAAATGTAATTATTCAATTCTAGTTAAGTATATTAAGTAATTCACCACCAATTTTGTACTTTTAAAACTAATTTAAAAATCTTTTGTATTAAAACTAAATTTATTTGGGAAATTTAAAATTTTACACTGCTTTAGAATATCTTTTAGCTTTGGTTTTCACTACTAAAGTACTTTTGTGTTCAAATGCAGAAAATTAAATTGAAGTGAAATTTCTTGGAAATACTCTAAAGTATTTTCTAGAGACACTGCATTAACATATTGTACATTTAGTCACAGATTCATTTCTCTCTTCTAAATTTTAATTTTTTACTACCACCTGGTGCAAATAATATTTAAAAAAAATCTATCCTCACTTTTACATTACCTTGTTGAATTATATGCTAAATCCTAAATGGTATATTTTAAGATAACAAAGAGCCATACATTTACAATTATATTATTAATCTTCATTCGAATATTTGCTCCTTTTAAATTAAGCAGAAATATAAATTATTCGAAACCGCTCAATGGCATCCTATTCAGTAATAGGTAAAGAGAGGGTTATCATTATAATTATAAAGACATATAGAGAAAATTACATACATTGTAATTTTAGCAATTTCCTTGGATTTTTTAACAACATAACAATCATACTGTACTTTATTTCTTGTAGAATTCTTATAGATTTCCTGTAGAAAACAATTATCCTCTATTGCATTTAACACAAATTAGAGCCTAAGTGTAATCACGCTTGATACCAGTCAATCGAAACTTGCCAATGAGAGAGATCTGAAGTTTCGATAGCCCGACCGAGACCCGCTATCCAACAGTTCATTTGGAGGCTTTCAATGACAGATAAGGGTTTTACTACTTAATTGTTTTGCATCCGATGACTGACGTACAAAGCTAGTTCTCTATCAGTTCTTCGAACACTGTTTATTAAATGTCAAAACGGTATGTTCTTTTGAAACAATAACTTGTGACAACATACATTGATATCCTTAAATTATTTACTTTTAATGTTAAGTTGATTTTTATTAAAAAATATTTAGAAATCAAATAATAATGAACTTAATTAATCAAAGACAATCTAGTTAGGAATCAGATTCATCAGGAATGTTAAATAATCCTCCTCATGGCATGGACTTTTTTTTTACTTTAGAGTAGAATTGATCTAGTATGATCAGAGTAAGAAGCTTGTACCATGGAATCCTTTTCCCTCATAATAGTCATCTAAATAAATAGAAGGTAGGAAACTAAATTGCGTTGAGTACTAAATTTAATTTCTTGTAAATTAAAACAAAAGTATAGAAAGCCAGGAAACAAACAATATAAACTACAATCGTCTATTAAAATATACAAGTACATCGCAGTAGTAATACACAGTAGTTTTGAGTCTAGTTGCACACAATGTCCATTAATTGTGTGTTTGAGAAGTTGCCGCAACGCAGTTGTTCAGTTCGTTTCCCTTGTGTTCGGACTAAGTGCAATGTAATCTGTATTCTAAACATTGCTCAAGCTGAACTAAAGCCTCAGCGCTTTAGTTCAGATTCATTCTAATTTCTATTCTCTTTTTGTCATTCCCAGTATTGTTCCAGCTTTTACACAACATACTGTTTCTCTTTGGCGTATCTGAATGTTATTTGCTTCAAAGATAAATTTTGGGACTTCGGGAGAATTATTTTATCTGTGAACATATAGTTGCATCTAGATGATCATTGCTCTGGTAAATTTGGTTCTCAAATTTGGTATTTTTAAAACAACTTAAAAAACATACAAGTAAATATCTAAGTCACAGCCCATAGAAATAGACAACAGATGTGAGAAGCTTCTTTGGAAATGAATGTGTCGAACCGTGACGGTTGGATATTTTTAGAATTATGTATTACGAATGAGCGTAAAGAATGTATGTCCATAAAACTAAATAGTGTTATTTTTATGGTCTAGTAAACATTTCAATGGCTTCACATTTTCGTTTAATATTTGTAATAAAAATATTATAAATATCAAATATAGAATAGATTTCAAATTAAAAGTTTTACGCTATTTAGTGTAAACGCTGCTGCAGTTAGAACTGAAATAAGTGTGGCTTGTTGTAACCATAGTAACCTATTTTATTACATACAGTATAATATGACCCTTTTTTTTGGTGGTGGGGTGGAAAATCCATTCGTATCTTGAGCTCCTAGGAAGCGCAGCAGCAGCAGGTGAATGTGGTTTCCGGCCCCCCCTGGATTTTATTGCTGGCGAAACGCTCTGTATATATATATATATATATATGTATATTTTCATATTTATATTATCTGAATCTCGGCAACG